GGAAGAGCGAAATTGCTATTTATCTAAAGCCATTGTTTGCTCTCCAGTATACTCACCCAGGCTCTGGGCCAGCAGAACGGGCGAGGGAAGGTGTGAGCATGTCTGTGTTTATGGATATAGAATTATCAATACTGTATTTCCTGCTGTGTTTTATAGTGGCGTATAGCATTGTCCTCTCCCTTGACAGCCTTGAGATGGGTGAAGCAAAGCCACTGCCTGTTTGGAAAGACACCTTTCTGCAACACAGGGAGCCCCGGGCGGCAAGTCGGTGCAGGTCCTGGCAGGGCGGGGAAGCCTTTTGCAAACTCATGGGAAAATAGTTCCTGTGTGATGTGAAGCTCATTACCAACGTCAGTGCCTGACTTTTATTGCTGATTCTACCAGATGCTTGGCTGAGCCCATTTTAATCTCTTTCAAGTGGCATGAACCTAATTGGTATCTCAGAATTCCTCTTTGCAGCAGGAGCCTGATCCAAAGCCTCCAGATTGATGAGGAGTCTCCTGCCAGCTTCAGCGGATTTCAGACCTGCTTGCCAAACAGTCTCTATGAATCCTTGCACAGGTGTAGCTGACCTGATCGGCTCTTGATCTCAGCAAAGTGCCATGTCTGTGCCTTAAGAGTGGGTTTCTCAGACTAAAACCTATGTCCCCGTTTCAGATGTTTAACAAGCAGAGTCAGAGACCTTTGCTTCTAACACTGGAGCAAACTTGGCCAAGGGAACGGAGTTCCTCCTGCTGTTATCTCCTTGCTGGATGCAGCATTCAGTGAGATAAGACACACAGCAAGGCAGAAGCGAGGCAGTCTGCTGTCTGGAAGTGATGACATCTCTGAAGGTGATGTTATTACATAGTCTGTGGTTTAAAGACCCACCTGACAACAATCTCATAACTTTTGCTGATGCCATTATGTGTGTAGAATGAGCTCTCCCTACGCAGAATAGCAGTAGTGAGAGGAAATAACCAATCTCTTGCCTTAAAACTTCATAAAACACCCAAATTTCCTAACATCCTGAAAAGCATCTGTACACTGCTTGTGGGCGTTTGCATGGGGGTGGTGGGCCAGGTCCACAGCTCCTCCCTTTAGGAGCAAAGAAAAATGCTGGAAAAGATGAGGACGTCCCTCAAAGTGGGGTGGAGACAGAAAGCAGTGACTCCCTCTGCAATGCAAGAGCTGGAAACCATCTTAGAAGAGCACAGACTGTCACTGAGACTTCTCTGTATGGGACCTGAGCAGTCAAGACAGCTTGGTAGGTCTCTCAGCCAGACACCACAAGACACTGGCAGTCCCCTGCACTCATAGGCTGCAGAAGGATGCTCATGTGCAGCCAGGCAATGCTGACATCCTGAGTTTTAGCCTGAACTTCTCCTCCCTACTATGAAACAAGCCTGTATGTTTGAGGGCAAGCCTTGGGAGCCACTCATTCATATTAAAACAAGGAGGAGGAGGAGTAAAGGCAGCAACGACAAGAGCACTGACAGCATGTATGTGCTTTTGTCAGGCCCAAGGAGTAGGTGCTTTCCTTCACTGGCAGCACTGAAGACCTGCCTTTAAATTAATAAACATTTGTGGATCACCAGTTCTCAGCCTGCAATTTGGGACCATTTTAGGCACACCAATTCGATTATCCAACAGTCACACAACACAGGTGAATAACTATCTTGAACCTCTTATTTCAACTGGGATGAAGTTGGTGCTAGACAGAAAGTCAAAATGGCATTACCTCAGTCATTAATCGTGAGTCGTTTACTGTCCTTTTCTTTCATAAGCTCTTCTGTTTAACAAGGAAAGTCCCTCTACTCCTCCCACTTTCCAGAGAAGCAGGAGCATGGAGCAAGGCGCACCAGCCCCGGAATCGCGCCCCGATCTCAACACTGCCTTTCCACCTCAGAGGCCCTCCCAGATAACTGGGTGTTTCTGACTTCTGCATCTAAGGACGCCATCAGTTCATTACGTAGCTCTCATTTTTTCCCTTGCAATTTGTTTGTTTCTAGAGCAGCAGACAGAAAGAAGTAAAGGACTCCGTATAAACATGTCAGGAGCGGGTTTCTCCCAGGCTGGAGGGCAAAGCACAGGCAATGCAACCTGACAGCGTCCCACCCTGAGTGATGGGTGGGGAAAACTCCTGATGCTCCTTGCGAAATGCTTTAGCTGCTGCCTGCTACGCACTCCGTTGCAAGGAGAAAAGTTGCAAAACCAGCAAATATATTGTTTGTCTATTTTTGAAACGCTCTTTCCCACCTCTCCTGGGTGCTGCCTCTCCCTGCGCTTCTTTATCTTCGTCCACCTGAGATTTAGGTCTTGGTGGTTCAGTTTGTTCTGGCCAGGGAAGGCAGTGTCCAGATTGCTACTCCAAAGCATAAAACCACTTGCAAAAGTTCACTGGGAGACCAGGGTCTGACCAAGCAACAGTGTGCAACAACTGTAGAATCACAGGATGCTTTGGCCTGGAAGGGACCTTTAAAGCTCACTGAGTCCAACCACACCCCAGTGAGAAGGGACATCTGCAACTAGAGCAGGTTACTCAGAGACAGATTTTGCTTTCTTTGATAGGATTGCCCAAGCCACTCTATTCTGGGTGTTCTTTTAAACTCGAATGTGCTATCACAATGAATGACAAATTTTGTCCTGAAATCCTTATGGAATAAAACTCCCACTGACAAGAGGTTTTTGTCCAGAGAGACAAAGCCACCAGGGATAGCAGAGTGTTCCCATCTCAGGGCAAGCACCTCTCATGCAGATAATGCATTTGGGAAGAAAGCTGTGCAACTTCTCCCACAGTGAACATTTGGTTAAGAATCTCCATAAGTGTCTAGTGCAGAGGGATCAGCAAAGTGCATGTTTCTCATTAGTGCCATAACGGACATAATCGCTACAGAAACCGAGCTGGGTGGGCCAGTGCAGCACAGAGCCTAAAACCCCAGCAGTGGTGCCTGAGGAAAGCAGTGGTGAACACTGGTGGCCCAGTAGCCACAGACCCCCAGCTGCTATGTGCCAGGATCCAACTCAACTGCTTCAACTGAAGCAGCATCAGACATGCCAAATATTTCCTGGTCTGGGAGCAGGGCTGCTCTGAGACCTTACTCACTACAAGCCCTGGGCTGAGGTCAGCTCTGTGAGGATGAGGACCTGCTCACCTGGTTAGAGGCAGAGCACCCTAACCTCAGAGATGTTCCTCCTTCCCTACCCAGTGCACCAGGAGCATGTTTGCCCCTCGCTCAGGACAGTGCCAGGGGTGGGAGGGCATGCTGTGGCTTATACCCACCCCATGCTGATGTATCTCCTTCTTGTGGAAGCAGCAGTGTGGGGAGGTTGGATGTGCTTCTGCACCTTGTCCTGATACCATATCACTATGACAGTGCCAAACCAGACACAGGACTTGGGAACACCCTCAGCTGTCCAGAAGGGATGGACCTGCCAACACTACAGACCCAGGCAAGAGCAGTGTTGCTATTGGTGGGAATTACACCTCAGAGAGTCTTTTCTGACAGTATCCAGGCTCCACATACTGCCTTCCCTGGGCATTCAAGACTTGGCTCTGCATCTCCAAAGCTGTGTCTGCAGCTGAGGCAAACAGCACACTTGCAGCAACCCATGGGCTGCTGAACTGTAACGGTGGCTTTGAGCCCAGTGCTGAACAGATCCCATTTTTTGGATGATACTGAGGCCTCAAGGTCAAGGTTGCGGCTCATGCTAGACTGTGATTTTGCCAAGAAAGGCTGTACCAGATGATCCTTGAGGTCCCTTCCAGTCTGGTACTGTCCAATTGATTTTCTATGTGCAGTGATTGCACTGCTCCAGGTGCCCAGCTTAACTTAAACCTTGCTCTTGTTTGTCTGTGTAAACTGTGGTCAGCGCTGTGCTTTCTGTGGGACCTCAAGCACTGCTCAGGACTTACATCAGGACATGGCATAGCCAGCTCCTGCAGATGGATGGCTTTAGGAGCTGGTGGCTACTCATAACTCACATTGTCAGTAGAGTGACAAATGTCTCTAAGGATCTTCTGGGCTCAACAGCACATGGATTGAAAGATCACCTAACTCAGGGAGGTTTACAGTCAGTTAATGTGCCCAACAATGCATCCCATCATGGTCACTGTGCAAATGGCACTGGGGACTTCATCCCTGAAGGCTGAGCCAAACCCTGACGTGTGAGCCAAGGAAATCCTGCAGCCAAGTGCAAGCCTGCTGCCCTCAGAGCTCCTCTATCTGGAGTGGTCCCACTGATTTCACTGTTACCTACACTGATAATGAGCAGGTTCTCCTTTCAATGCTAGTTGCAGTGGTGCTTCCAAGAAGACACCCCACAAGAGGAATAAACAGAAAATAGTCTTTAACAATGAGTAAATCAAAGGTTTTCATCAGAAGTGCTGACTGATCCAGAGAGACATCTTCCCCCAGGTCTATAATTTCTTTTGCTCTGATATTTGAACATCAGTATCATAAGGTTGGGAAAAAGGCTCAGAAGCAAACAGCTTGAAGTTTCCAAGAAGGCACAAGAAAATGGAGGAAGTCAGGAATCAGTTTCTAAGAGCTGTGGGTGAGACAAAATGCCTGTTCTCATTTAGAGTCACCATCTGAGGCAATCTAAGAGCAGCTGCTAAGTTGCAGTTGCTGTGGAGAAGCAACATGGACAGGGATTGCCTGTTACACCTTTTAGACTCTAGAGGTATTAATATTCCTGAATACTATACTCAGTCGTCTCCCTGAAGTAGCTGAATTTCCCTGTGCACCTCAAAGGACTTTGCCAGTTCTCAGAAGCATTCACAGCACCTGCTCCAGCTGGAAAGAAGTCTGCCAATTCTGTCTTCCAAAATAGATTTGTTTTATCTTTGTTTTCATGTCTTACAACCCAGGAATTACAAACAGGAAACATTTTTTAGAATGCCTAGAACCTGTACAGACTTCAAACAGGTCAGCAGACAAAAGTTAAAGTTAACCCAGGCTGGAGGCTGGTGGTGGATGTGTGTAAACACTTAATACTTTTATAAAAAAAGTAAAATGGAGAAGGTTCCTCAGTGTGGTTGGGGAGTGTGATGTCTACTAAGCTTGTTAAGCAGATTTAGGCTTGAGGTTATGTGTTTCAATGTGCAATGGCAGCTGGGACTCATGGCCCCTACCTGCAGTCATTTACCTGCTAGGTGACTGCTCCAGCCCAGCTGCCACTGGATGGAGATTGGCATCCAGAGGGGCTGACTCATCCTGACCTGATGGATCTCCAAGAGAGAGGAGAGGAACCACCTCCTCATACCGACCTCTTTGTTGGTTATGGGAGGAGTCCAGACGGCTTGTTAAGACTAAGTGGCTGATTTTCAGATAGACACAGTTAGGTAAGAGAAATTTTACTGTGAGGCCTTCACAAGGCCCAGACACTTTTTCTAAAGTATCCCAAGTCCTGAAGGCCTTTACCAAAAATTTCTAGGATGAAAGGCAGGCAAGACACATAGGTTTGGAGAAAGACCTTCCCTCATGAGTAAATGCAGAAGAGCCCTTCAGAGAAAAGCCATGAGCTGCAGAAGTCCATGGCGACCCCGAAGCGACTGAACTGCCGTGCCCATGGTACCCCGTGGTGTCTAATGGAGGCCCTGATCCTTGTAACCATCTTGCAAACTGGTCACCAGAACACCAACGCTGGACTGAAACCTCCAGCATAGAGGCATTTCTAACTACATAGCACTTGTCCAGCTATCATAATGACTGGGAAGAAGATCAAGAACTAACAAAATGAAACAATAATCCTCACACCAGCAACACTAGCTGCAGTACCACCTCACCAGCATGAGCATGAGCTGGAGGGGCAACTTCAGAGCTGGGGCTTAGCTCCCTCCCTCTTTATCAAAAATAACCAGCTAGAAACTACTGGAGTGGCTGGAACAGAGTGGTTTTGCTTAGACAAAGCATAACAGATTCCATTCAGGAATCACAACAGACAAACAGCAATGCATCATTGAAACAAAACATTGCAACCATTTGACTTACAAAGCTCAGAAATTCCACCTCTGCCTCAAGAGGTCCCTCAGTTGTATATTTCTAGTAGCCACAAAACCACTCTAGGATGCATCACTGCTGCTTACTAGGCTAGACCCTTCTCCAGGGGCCCATCACTGCCTCTGTGGTGGAGACAGGACATTTGTCTGGATGGACCTCTGCTCTGACCCCTTAGAGTCACCCTTTTGGTCTTAGACCAGACAGAAACACCAGTGTCTGTGGTCAGCAAAGGACACTGAAACAAAACAGTAGACAGTCTGCAAGTAAAAATTTCAAAGCCATGCAAGTGCTCACTGTACTTACTGCTGAACACTGCAGCAGGCAGCAAACCCAGTGATGCAAACCCAGCAAGTGCTGCCTTGAAGCAAGCGTGCTGCACCAAAGCCATTAAGAAAGACAACAGATAAATCTTTCTGAAGCTGAGGAATGCTGATGCCATGAACAGGCAGAGGATCTGGCAACTACCAGGAAAAACTTCATCCCTCTGTCTGTGTGCTTGAAGCCAACATTAGCACTTTTCCTGGTTTAATCCTTTGATGCTTGACAGGGAGCTGCTTTACAGTCCCAGAGTTATTGAAAGCAGCCCTTTCTTTTTGCTGTATTCAAATCCCAGACATGTGAATTGCTTCTTTCTATTTTTATAGCTGATGAAAACCAAAGAAGAACAGAACACAGGTCTGAGGTGGAGAGGCAACACAAGCACTTGTCCCAGTAAAGGATGGAGTGATTTGGAATGACTCCCAGTGTACTAAGAGTCTGCCAACAAGGACAGGGCCAGGACCCCTGTGTGATGTATAAACTCAGATTGCACAAGGACAAGAACTATCTCACATGTGGTTGTTTGTTTTTTTTTTTTCAATCTGTAATATTTCCTTTGGAAATCACTATGGGAGAAGTGGACCATCTCTTTTCCAAGCTCAGAGAATATCTGTAAAGGGTCTGCACTAGCACTGAAATTGGGAATAGCAACACAGTTATAATGCAAATCCTCTGATCACCACCATTCAAGCAGATTAATGTTCACAGAGAAGTTCTGGTAGATGGAAACAAAACCAGAAACTGTTCTAGCTGAGCAGTGGATGTGCTCCAAACTTGGACTGAGTTATAAGAGTCTCAACCCATCAATGATCCTTCAGACATCTTCAAACATCTTGTGCTGTGTTGATATTAATCCACAAACCCAAACTCAATCTTGTCCACAATAAACTCTCCAACCAACTACCATATAGAGTCCTCGTTCACCCTCTTCTATGACGTTGAATTACCTTCTAAGACAGCCAGAGCCATGCACAGCCTCTCTCGGGCAAGCTTCTGAAGTGCTGTGACATTGCTACCTGACTGCTCCTGCTGGGGGGTGCTTTCTGTGCAGGTCACCTCAAGAGCATGCCACAGTTCCCAGATAAAAGAGTCTCTTACCGGATAGCCCCAGCTGCTGTTTCCTGCTTGGGCTTTGGTGTAATAGCTGCCCCGGGACGTGCCGTAGCCGTAACCATCAGCCAAACCGTCGTACATGGAGCCTGCAAGTGGAAACAGCACGGTCAGCAGGAGGAAGCAGTCCCAGCAGGCACCCCTGCAGAGCACAGTGCTCTTTTTCCAGAGAGGTTCTGGACGATAATGGAGTTAGAAACCTTAACAGGCTCTTTACACAGGAAGGACAGGCAGTGAGTTGAGCCCTTGCCATTGCAGGCAACTCAGAACTCCTTCATTCCAGAAAAACTTACAGAAACTCCAGCCCTCAGACCACAAGCAACAGCCTAATTTCAGCACAAAAAGCAAGTGCCCTAAAATCTACAGTGGACAAGAGCAGACAGGGCCAGAGACCATGCCAGTGTCTCAGGTCTTTGATATGGGGGAGGAACTGGATGATATTTTGTGCTAAACATCCTGGAAGGTCTGACCCTGGAACACACATTCCTTATTCTGACTTGGAGGTAAATAAAATTTGCCTCTCTTCTGAAACCAAAATCCACCTCTGACCCTTTTCCCAGTCTGGCTTCCCTTGTCTGAATACTGACAATTGCATCAACACAAGAAGCCTGAGCAAGGCTCAGTAAGTTAAATAAATAGAAAATAACAAACATGATGGGTAAATGTTGATCACATCTACTTAACACCTGGGGATCTGAAATGGTCAAACACAGAAAAACCTGATTGCACTGCCTTAAACTTCAATGTCCAGTCTCTAAAAGATAACTCTGAGTGTTTGTACTTTCTTTTCCTGAAAATGTATGAAGCTCCACCATTATTTTGGGGGTGCTGGGGAGATACATGAGACTAGATCTCAGATGTTTTGTAAAGATGCAAATACCTTGGATTGGGAGGAACCCATCAGCCATTTCTACTGTACCTCAGTGTCCTATTCAGAGTGCTTGGATTTACCTGTCCCAGCCCCACTTAAAGCTCTTCCAGCTCTGTCTCTCATCAGTAGCCCTTGGCTGTGCAATCTTTGGATCCCTCCCAAGAGCATTTTTCTCAATGCTACATTCACCACTACAAGAAAAAATGAAGTGAGTCATTCTTTTTCCAAGCTGGAATTCCCTTAATCCCCTTCAGATGGTCCAAAAAAGTTTAAGGCCGTTTTCAAAAGTTCTCAATAATTGTGGCATCCCAAGTCCCGTTATGAGGAAATGCAAATCCTACACTCCAATTAACTTCCAGGGGAAGCTCTGAATGGCTAATGAAGTACAAAATCAGGATGTACCTGTCTTAATACATGCACCTAAACTGGTGGGTAATGTCAGAAATATCTTAATCTCTGATTGCTTGATACGACTCCTCTCTTAGATAAACTGGATAAGCTCGACCACAAAGGCCCTGAAGCCACTCAGGTCTTCAGCTTGATCCTTGGAATAAATCTAGTCTATTGCCTTGCCTGAGGCACCCAGAATCTGTTATAGTGATTTGGTTCATGGCTAAAAATTCTTGCATTTTCTCAGGAGGACCTTTCTTGTAGATGTGGTACCAGCAGTGAGATCTGCTCTCTGTTGTCAGCAGGAGTCAGCCAGACTGCACAGATGGTGACACGTGTCAGTGGCTGCAGAATAAGCCACAACAGAGCAGTTTCACAGACACACACTTGTGCAGAAAACCACAGGATCTCATGTACCATAGTCCTGGTGGGCATAGCTCCGTATTAATATGTCTCCAGCCCTGACTGCTTCATATGTATTAAGTTGCACAGAACTTGCTGTTAAGGCAAGGAAATGGCCATTGGCACACAATGGGAGACACAATTCAGCCCTGCCCTTCACTGTGTGCTCCCCTCCACTCTGGGTCCTCCCAGACACTCCAATCAGGACATTAGTGCTGGGTTTCAGTGGAAGCAAATCAGGGCCTGAAATAGTAAATTTGGGCCAGGTGATTCCCCAGGGCACAGAGTAAGATAATAACAATAGTTCTGAGCAAAAAGATAAAGCAATCACATGGTAACAGTTTCCTGGGAATTCCTTCTTACAGTCAACCTCTTGTTTTGTGCAAACATCATGTATCTGCAGGTGGGAACACCTGGGAGCATTCTCCTGACACTGAGTGAGCAGTTGCAAGGACAGGTTTCTGGGCATGACTCACAGGTTAATCTGACCAGTCCTCCCTGGGCACTGTGCTTTTCCTTTCAGGATCATTCCTTGCCGTACACTTCACTAAAAACTTTGGGGTTGAGCAAGAAATTTTTGACATCAAAGAAATTTGACACCAGAATTAAGCCAGTTCAGGCAAATCTCTGATCTTCTTGTTTAAATTCATTGCTATCTGGCCAACTTCAAGAGACCATGCAGTTTATGCAAGTTTATGTTCCTCAGTTGTTAAGAGCTGCCTTCACGTCCAAGAACTTGTATGTAAGAGCTTATAAATATATAATTATGTATAACCTCAAAAGTACAAGGCATTTTGAAGCCCCCTTGCTGGTTGGAGAATGTGCTTCTCCTGTGATTTACTGCTTGGACTGCTTGGTCTCAAGGCCAGGAAGAACCTGGGGATTTTTTGATGGAGGTGGCTGAAGACAACATTATCTTTATTTAATTCTGCAATTTTAGACACTTCTCTGCCTGGTTCACCTTGAGAGCCAGCCTGGAGGTGTAACACCAACCCCTGGGGAGAGGAAGGATATTCCTCTTTTCAGCCCTCACAGGGGTAAGGACCACACAGGCTGGTCACATGTCCTGAGAATCTGAGATAAAAACAGACAGTCTGCTGAAAAAAACATTTTGGCAGGGGTTGGACATGCTCTTTGGGGGACACGCCTCCCTGGTGCTTTTTTCTAGCTATGCCCATATGTCTGTGTCCCATTTGTTGTCAACCAAGCAGCTGTTAGGTCTATGAAGTGTCCACTTGCACTTGGACAAACACAGAGCAAATGAAAACCACTGTATTAGGAGTAGATAACAGCTGGGATGAGAAAAGATGTGGGTGAGAATGACTCAGATGAAGCAAAGCCTCCCAGTGCCTGTGGTGTGGGCAGAAAATACCCCCGAGGCTGCTCAGGCGTTGGCCAGGCTGTCGCAGGGACACCTCTCGCCCACCCCCAAATTTTTTTTCCCCCAAGGCATTTCCTTCAAAACTTTGCCAATATAAAATCTCATTTACCTTCCGTGAGACAGTTCATGAGGGTAAAACTAGCTACAACAGGTAGGAATTGAAAGATCTTACACTTCATCACTGTGAACCCCACTATGTGCTCGCCTCTGCCTCATTCTCCTCTCCGTAGCTGTGGCCCACCATTGCAGAGCTAACTGAGACTTCCAGCTAAGCCAACTTGCCTATGTTTGATGAGTTTATTGCTTTCTTTGAAGGCAACTTTACTCCTCTTGAAGATAAGAGACTGATGGCAAGGAGGAGAATTTTGTTAAAAGCACCATTTTTCAAGCACAAGAGTGAAAGACTTCAGCTGGACACATAAAGGAACAGGTAGCATTGTGGAAATGGATGCATCCTAATAAATATTAATCTGTGGCAGGGAAAGGCAAGACAAGAACCAGTCACTGGTAGTGCAGGCTAGGCAAGTTAAGTAATAAACTATGCATGACTTTAAAACAATAAGGATGATTAAACACAGGAAAAACACAGTAAGAGAAGAGGGCCTGTGGGAGGCACAAAGCAAGGCCTGGATGCCTCCTAGGAGAGGAGTGTTCATGAAATCCAAGAAGTTTGGATTGTTGCAGGAATGACCCAACTTCATTTCTGCCTCCTGGCCTATGAGCTAAAGGGTTTTGGTACTTTTTCTGTACTAATAGTCTAAGGTTTGTAGAAGAGTGGATGACTTTCAATGACTCATCTCATACTGGGGGAAGCTTACAGAAGTCTTCAAAAGACTTACTATCCCCAAAATCTCCTCTTCCCTTCACATCAGAGTAATAACCCCTACTAGAGCTAGGTGGGATCCCATTAGAGCTAGGTGGGATTTCTCCCCTCTCAAGCACAGCCAGCATTTTCTCCTGCCATGCCATTGAAATTAATTTTCCTTGGAAATTTGCATTGCTTGCAAATTCAGAAGCCATCCAGTTAGCTGTTCCCATGGTGAGAAGGGCAGATATACCCTAAGGCAGACCTCACAGACCCAAAACCCAAGGAGAAAAGACTCCACAGACCCAAAACTCTGCAGCCATCCTTGGAAACACCCATACCTGCTGAGCTGAGAAAAGGCCTCACTGTGGGTGTAGGATTATGCTGCTTGCAACTGGTTTCTGCTCACTACCCCACCCCAGAGTGCACCAGCTTGGGCCCAGATGGATCACCTTGCCCTGCTGAGGCTTGTTCACATATTGGGTGACACCAGATCTTCAGAAAGTGGCCACAACGCCTTGATCTGCTGACTCCAAATAACCAGCTAATTTTATGTATCCATTGACTAGCAGGACATTGAGGGAACATCTGTTGACCTGCTAAAGAGAATCCAGAAAAGGGACACAACAATGTCCACACCTGCTGCATGCAAGAGGGGTCCACACCCATACTCCCCATT